TACTGTAGTGGAGTTATAACTCTGGGTAAATAATTATAACCCCCCCCCCACAACATTTATGTATACCAAAATACTTGTAGAAAATGAGAAATAGCAAGATGTGGAAACAATAAACCGCGTATTATCTGATTGACAGTGGCTGTTATGTGGTGTTAAAGACATGAGAGATAGTAATTCTGAGTAAATGGTATATAGTCTTTCTTGCATGATTTCGTATATAATGTGTGTACTGAATGCGCAGATAATTTAGTTGGAAAAAAAAAGAAGTGTTTAAAATTTTCTTCAGTTTTTGTTATGAGTGTTAAGAAGATATGTTGATGTTTCGGCCTTTCAGGAACTGAAAGTAAAGATGCTGAAATGTTTGTCAAATGTCATGTTCACTTCTTGTTAGTGTAGAGGAGAAGAGTGGGGTTGATTCTCATTGGTTTAGAAAGAGTGAATCATAATAATGATAATTATAATTGTCATAATTATTTTATTATAATTATAGGTGATAGTATAATGAATTTTTATTTATTTCTTTTTAATGGGCATGACAAAAAAAGACTATAATTTTTATTTCTTTTTAATGGGCACAATAAAGGGAGATTATAATTAATTTTTGTTTATTTCTTTTTAATGGCACAGCAAAGTGAGAGTAATTAATTTTTATTTATTTTATTTTAATGGGCACAATAAAGTGAGAGTCTAATTAATTTTTATTTATTTCTTTTTTAATGGGCATGACAAAGTGAGATTATAATAATTTTTTTTTTTAATGGGCATGACAAATTTTTATTTATTTCTTTTTTTAATGGGCATGACAATAAGAGTATAATTAATTTTTATTTCTTTTTAATGGGCACAATAAAGTGAGATTATAATTAATTTTTATTTATTTCTTTTTAATAGGCACAACAAAGTGAGATTATAATAAATTTTTTTTAATGGGCATGACAAATTTTTATTTATTTCTTTTTAATGGGCACAGCAAGTCTAATTAATTGTTATTTATTTATTTTTAATGGGCATGACAAAATAAGAGTATAATTATTTTTTTTAATGGGCACAACAAAGTGAGAGCCTAATTAATTTTTATTTATTTATTTTTAATGGACATGACACTGCCCACCCAGGCAAGAAGGCAACACCCTGAATAAAACATCTATATATAATATGGGGAAACTGGTATTGCATTATTTCTTGATGGAGCATTTGTCATTCATCTTGTTACCTTATGAGCATGCAGCAGGCCCTTTCACAGCTTTCAGTGCACACTGATCAGCTTGAGAATTGAAATGCAACTTCGGGTATTATCATTGGCTGGTCAGTGGAAAGTTTGGGTGAAGGTGGCATTGTATGTTTACATATATACAATGTAATGTTAAAGATGTTGGAAAATGGTCAGCTCGTTCTATCACTCTAAGAAGTATCAGACTTCTTCTGCCATAATTTGTCTTTACAAGAGTCAGGTTAGACCAAAAATGGAGTTTTGCTTGGCTAGAGTTGATCAGTCATCATTTAATAGAGTTCAGAATCACTACTCTCCACTCTGCAAACTTTTTCGGACAGAAGCCACATCTCGAGCCTATCACTCTAATTCTGTGGCAAATGTTCAGAACTGTCAATGTGTTGAACAAACTCCGAAGACTTCCCTGACTACTACAATCTGAAATTCTTCAAGTCAAGGGTTATCTATCCTACATAATTTTATTGAATCAATTGGTAGGTCTATTGCTAGGAAAGTTGGTTCTCTGTGTCGTGCCAGACAATCTTGCATGTTTATAAATCTGCCATTCATCCGTGCATTGAATACTGGTGCCATATCTACACTAATGCTCCTGTTGTATATTGCAAGATCCTTGACAAAATTCAAAACAACTGTAACGTAATCTATCTAAGATTCAATGGGTTACTGAGTGTGAAAGAGCATGAGACTATTATTAAGGGGAGAGGACAATAAAAGGACAAGATTTAAGGAGACATGTGACAATGATTGTCATTGTATCAACATTTTTGAAGATCAAAGTTGACTGGGAAGCAAGATGCTGGAAGAGAGTTCCACAGGCAAGATGTACAAGATGAGAAACTGTTAGTCTAGAACTTACAGTTACATCTACCCATTTAAACTGTAAAATGATGAGACCTAACTGTCAATCTAGTACTGCCCTTCAGTTTGTAGAGTCAAGTTATCAAGGAGGATAGCTCATACAGGTACAGATTCAGCATTTTTAGTTGGAGGAGGCATATTCCTCAGTAAAAATCTCAATTCAAAATTTAAAATTCTCAGTTCATATAATATCATATAGATTACATTATGGAAATGAGTAGAGAGTCTTTATATATATATATATAACTTGGATAACACAATCTGCAAATAAAAATATATTTAAACAAGGGAAAAAATTCAGAAAAATAGAAAAGACTAAAAACATCCATGTTGGTCCAAAAAAAAAAAAAAATATCACCCAACACTGCAATGCCTAGGCTAAAGTTTTACCCTGAAGGTGAAACCTTGGTGGTTAGTTCCTGGCTCACTAAGTATATATATATATATATATATATATATATATATATATATATATATATATATATATATGTATATGCACAATCACCAAAAACAAGCAAATAACCGGCTTTAAAATAATAACAAAACAGCCTTAAAAATTAAAAATAATAGCAATTTTTACCTATCATAGTTTTACACAGACCCCATCATACATATATATGTGCGTGTGAGGAAATATTATTCAGCAAAAAAATAGAAAAATGGTCTGCATGTTGACATCATTACATTCAAGAGAATTATTGGCTACACATCCCATCATTGAAATTTAACAATCAAATGCATACGTATGCACACAACAGCAAACATATACATATATATGTCAAGTCCCATACTGTTCACATATGTTTATGTTTGTGTGAGCACCCATGGATGAGCACGTGTTTGTATGTCTGCATACCTCAATGGGTGTACGGGTGTGCATGTATCTTTGCATAAGTATGAGTGGTGTCACAATGACTGTTTTACCTCCCACTTCCAAAAAAACACCAATACACGCAACCTATATAAATCCAAAATTTTAAAAAATTAATCAGTTTGTCTGACAATCGCAAAAGCTTGAAACCCAGGTTCAAACTCATGTCATTCCAACTAATATATATATATATATATATATATATATATATATATATATATATATATATATATTTTTTTTTATTTCTTTGGTATGTAAAATTGTAAATTCAAACTTTTAGATTTAAACAGTGATTAATATATTTTGATTTATTTTATTCTGATTGTCATTTTCAAATTTTGATTTATTTTGATTATTATTTTCAAATTTTGATTTATTTTATTCTGATTATCATTTTCAAATTTTGATTTATTTTATTCTGATTATCATTTTCAAATTTTTATTAATTTGATTTTGATTGTCATTTTCAAATTTTGATTTATTTTGATTATTATTTTCAAATTTTGATTTATTTTATATTGATTATCATTTTCAAATTTTGATTTATTTTATTTTGATTGTCATTTTCAAATTTTGATTTATTTTGATTATCATTTTCACATTTTGATTTATTTTGATTTTCATTTTCACATTTTGATTTATTTTGATTGTCATTTTCAAATTTTGATTTATTTTATTCTGATTATCATTTTCAAATTTTGATTTATTTTATTTTGATTGTCATTTTCAAATTTTGATTTATTTGATTTTCATTTTCATTTTTAAATTTTGATTTATTAATATCAGTAAACTTGAAATCATTTCATAAGATTAGATTCAAGTTTGTGTTGATGGGTTATTGCTGACTTAATTTCAGTTACACCTATGCCACTCTGTATTAGCTTACCTCATCTACCGTATTTTCCGGCTTACAAGACATACTTTTTTTCCAAAAAAATACCCTAAAAAATACATATTCGGCTTCCAAGATGAATGTAAGGCAACACCCAGCCTCAAGTAAGCTTAAACAGTCACCTAATTGGCTTGACAGATAGAGACGTGGATTTGCATATTGAGTCATTACACCATAATGTTAGCTATCTATCTAATTCAGCCTTTTAGATCATATAACCTCAGTACTTAACTGTTACAAGTATTTCCAAGACTATAATCCTTCCTGGAGCCGAGCCACAACCTTAAACATGCTCTGTTTACTAGCAGCGGCTGGAGCGTTTGGTTTCTTGACTAGTATGTCATTGCCATACAAACAAAATCGGATGAATGATTAATGTAAGCAATACGTGGCGCCAGTATGTGAGGGACACACGGTGAATGTGTTGTTGTATGAAGATGACTTTTTTTTTTCTTAGAAATTTCTTTCCAAAATCAGAGTACATCTTCCAAGCCGCAGCATCTTGTAAGCTATAATTTTAGGTTGGGTGTGGACTCTCTATGCAACCTTAGTTCCTCCACTGAATTACCATGAAAATATTTGTAGAAATATATATAAAAAAATATGTATATATAAAACAAAAGGTCAAGCAATTATCTTATTGGACTCTCACTAAACTTTCTGTGGCATATCAAAATAGCCAGCATCACTATTCTTAAATTTTGGAACCATTATGAAATGGTAATGGTATTAGCTGTTTCCTTATAAGGAAACATTTACCATTCATTGACCAAGCAGCCAGTGCCAGTGTCAATTGTAATTTATAAAAGCTTTCTATTAAAACAATAGGTTTATCAGCACCAGTAGCTGTTATCGCTCTTTCCAGTATTTATGGAGGTTTCCTTCCTAACCTTTTGTTTGAAGTTGTGTGGAACGTCAACATCTTGATTATATCATTATTTTCTCTTTCACAATATGAATTTGAATATGAAAAACGTGTCGTTTTTTTTCTTGTTTAACATTTGTATTTTTAGCAACATTTTTTTTTCTTTTTCTAGCTGTGCCTTTGCCTTATGGCTGATCCTTTGCCTTAATGCCACAGCCACCACCGCCACCACCACCACCACCGCCTGTTCCCTCACAGAGCGGTTCCTTCTCAGGGGCCAGTGATGGAGAAGGGAGCTCCGGTGGTCAGGGGAGAATCCAGTGTTACCTGCTTCAGTTACTATACACGTAAGAATTTTACCTTATTGATAGTACAGGGTGTCCCAAAAAATTTGACATCATTTTAAAAGCAATTATCTTGAAAACTACTAAGTCTGACTCAATGAAATTGAACAGTTTAGGTGTTTAACATCATAAGTTTATTATGGGACTGATTACATAATTGTTCAATATGTGCACCACCTGTGACACTGCACATGTCCAGTCGGTAGTTAAGCTCTTGCCAAACACGCTGATGTTGATGATGGTCTACCAGATACTTTATCCCTGAATAAGCAGCCTTTCTCTTTAAATTTTTGGTACCAAGTCCAAATTTGTTTGCCAGTTGGTGAAATTTTTTCAAATGTTGCATTGAAGGCACTCTGCACGATCTTGGGTGATTGTCTGCGAGCATATTCCAAGACGCAAAATGACTTCTCTTTGGCAGTGAACATCATGATTCAATCTGAAAACAGAACAAAAAACATTAAATATAAAATCTTGATGTATTTCTATACATTTTGTGAAAATTTGAGGTTATTTCAACAAGAATTGCCAAAATTATTGGCCTGTGAAATGTCAAATATTTTGGGACACCCTGTATTATTAAATTCATTGCCATTAATGAGTTTTTCATTAATGAAGATTTTTACCTTAATGACAGTCATGATGATGATTGTCTTTCAGGTTTCAAAGAAGGCGTTGTCTTGCAATTCATCAGTTGATCCAAATGAATTTTTAAAACAGACCTAGTGGGGAAAATCGTTACACTGGGGTAAACCTACTTTCTTGGCCTGGTGTCATGAAGAATAGTTACAACTGATGACTTCCAAGCTGCAGTAGATGACCATGGCTTTTACATGCTCTGATGCTTCCCATGACCAAATCGGTAACAGCAAGCCCATAGGAGTGTTTTCCATGATGGAAAAAGAGGATACATATTTGATTCCTGTTCGGAGACAGATTTATGACCTTCATCTAGGCCAGTTGTTATTAATTTTACTTTTAAAAAATAATAAACAGCAGCATCAACTCAAACATTTGTTTGCACAAAAAATAACCTTTCTAGTAATAAGAAATCCGGAATCTGGCATATCCAGAGTCCTGCATATCCGGACATGATTTTGGTGTATATATTTGAACTATTTTGGGATTACGTAACTGATTTGAAATTTCTGTTTTTCAGGAAATTTACTTTGGATAATTGCTTATGCTTATTTGAGCCTAATGGCTTGTATTGGTGCAAAAGATGATGGGAATAAGAGGAAAGGATGACAACGAGACGCATCCGCAACAAGATAGCGACAAGATGCATGAATGGGATGAAACCTGGACTGAAATTGAAAAAGCTATCCAATGGTTTGTCAGTTTTATGGAAAGAAAGCCAGCATACAGTTATGACGATTGCAACAATGCACGCAAAGTTAAAAATTGTCTTTTGTTTAAAAAATTTCATATCTAGAAGCCCTCATATCCGGAATCCCTCATATCCGGAATCCCTCATATCCGGAATCCCTCATATCCGGAATCCCTCATATCCGGAATCCCTTATATCCAGAATTCTGCAAATCCAGCTATGATTTTCAAGTACATATTTGAACTATTTGGGTGGTATCTAACTGATTTGAAAATATTTGGAAATGTCGATGAACAGTGACTATTTGGAGGAATCAAACTCATGCAGATAATCGAAAATAGTTGGCTGCATTTAATAAAGTTCCTATGTGTAAAAGGTTCATATAGAATTCCTTTATTAGCAGGCGTAAATATGTGAAGACATATTTAGGATAAAAATCAAAAGACGTTTTGAAAAATTAGTTGAAACAATTGATAGAGTTTATATTTTGTAATACAGTAGAATCCCTCATATCCGGAATCGTTTCCTATCTGGAACCCGCATATCCGGACATGACTTTTTATGCATATATTTGAACTATTTGTGTGATATGTAACTGATCTGAAATTTCTGTTTTTCAGAAAATTTACTTTGGATAATTGGATATTATGCTTATTTCACCCTAATGGTTTGTATTGGTGCAAAGATGATGGGAATAAGTGGAAAAGAACAACTTTGGAGTTATTGCAAAAAGTTATTAACTCAATTTTAACCTGAAATTTCGAACATAAAATATTTAATCCGTGATTCACCTTGGATCAAATGCATTGTCAAGGAAGCGGGCTATGTTGAAAAATAAATATTTGTTGTGTAAGGTAAACTTTTTTTTTTGCATCTCCGTACATACATAAATAGGTAGATAGATAAATATCCTTTTTTTTAAATTAATCCAACAGATTTTATTAAACCTTATTTTAGTGGATGCTAATATTTGAGTACCCTTTTTATTTATTAAACAGTATTTTTTTGTCTACCAGCCAGAATATTCAAGAAATTTTATTATCGAAAAATACAGTAGAATCCCTCATATCTGGAGTGCCTCATATCTGGAGATGATTTTTATGCATATATTTGAATTATTTGGGTGGTATGTAACTGATTTGAAATTTCTGTTTTTCAGGAAATTTACTTTGGATAATTGCTTATTTCACCGGAATGGCTTTTATTGGTGCAAAAGATGATGGGAATAAGAGGAAAAGGACATCTTTGGAGTTATCGCAAAAAATGGAAATTTTAAATTGACTAGACGCTGGTGAAAGTTTATTGTAACTAATGGCTGAGTTCAACATAAGAAAGTCAATATTGTATGATATAAAATCTTCCAAAGAAACTATTCTCCAGCGTTCACGTTGTCACAATGAACAAGGAAATAAAAAAAACATAAAATAGAATCCCTCATATCCAGACATGATTTTGATGTGTATATTTGAACTATTTAGGTGATATGTAACAGATTTGAAATTTCTGTTTTCCAGGTAATTTACTTTGGATAATTGCTTATTTCACCGGAACGACTTTTATTGGTGCAAAAGATGCTGGGAATAAGAGGAAAAGAACATCTTTGGAGTTATCGCAAAAAGTGGAAATTTTAAACAGACTAGACACTGGGGAAAGTTCATTGTATCTAATGACTGAATTCAACATGGGAAATCAACATTGTAGATGACCAGGGCTTTTTACATCCATGCCCTGATGCCTCCTATGGCCAAATCGGTAACGGCAAGTTTAGTTTATAGGAGTGGTTTCCATGATGGAAAAAGAGGATACATATTTGATTCCTGTTGGGAGGCAAATTTATCTTTTGTATGACCTTCATCTAGGCCAGTTGTTATTAATTTTACTTTTTAAGAAAATAATAAAGAGCAATATCAACTCAAACATGATATATATATATATATATAAAGAATTAATGGATTTATTGGTGGAGGAGAAAAAAAATAAAATGACATTAATAGTGACTAAAATCTCAAAGTTCAAAGAAGTCAGGAGCTCAGTGCTGAACCAGACCCTGGAAGGGACTGGAAACCTAATACCAAACAAGAAACAAGGGATAAACCTCTACTCCTGTTCAAAAGACTGAGGACGCATGTGGAGCTTGAAGAGTGTTGAGCCTTCCTCCTTGGTGCATTGACTGCACCAATTTAAGTGCAATTAGATCTCAGCATTTTACTGTTGAAATAGCTAGAGGCAACTGTCTGTTCTATTCTAATAGTATTTTTTTTTCTTGCACTTCTTGCCTGTGGAACTCTCATCCAGTTTTTTGCTTCTCCATCTCCAACAATCTTCAAAAATTTAAATTGCAACATCAATCCCCATCATCTCCATTTCTGAGCCCTGTTATTTTATTGTCCTTTCTCCTCGCTAACGTCTTCTCATTTTCTTTCACTCTCAGTAACCTCCTTGCATCTTAGTGGCATTATTGCCTTGTTTGGGGTGAAATGATTGAAAAAAAAAAACAATGAAATAAAAGTTGAACAATTAATAACTGACAATGCTTATTTTATGAAAAAGTTAATGGTAATATTACTTTCGTAAACTCTCTTATGGAACATTGAGACACAGCCTCTCCACATTAGGTGTGGCAGCTCTGGTTTCTATAGAAAGTACATTTCTATGGGGTGGGGTTTCCAGCCTCATGCCCAACAGGTTTTCAATATAGAGTTGTCATTTGTCTAGACTGGTTACCTATTAAGACTAGAGAGCTCAGTCATCCATGCTATTTAACCCATAGCTGGGAGGATACTAGATGGATTCATACCTTTTCCATAGGCTTTTTTGAGAGAGTGAATATTACGAACTTGGTCAGAATTTGAACCTGGCATATTAATTCCACTTTCCATGTTGACAACTGCTACGCTATGTGCATAGTCACCTCCGAATATTACCAGTGTAAATAAATGAATTGAAATTCGAATGGATGAAATACGAATCTAAAAAAGAATAACTAACAATGCTTCATCGAAGATATTAACAAAAAAATATTGCTATAATTGTATGTTTATACTGAAAATGCCATTTAAAAACTGTGCTTATCAGGTCGTAAATGTTTTATCGTTGTTTTGTTTTTCCTTTTTTAATCTAGTTTTTATTTTATTTTTTTTAATAATTTTTTTTCAAACTGTTTTTTTTTTTCCAGCCAAATGCAAACAAAAAGAGTTGCAATTTCGTCTCGTTGCCGCAATCGAATCCGGTGATCTACCACAAGTGCATAAACTTGTCGTCAGCGGTGTCTACATTGATTGCATCATCTTATTAGTGAAGACACCACTGATCCATGCAATGGAACAAGGCCACGAACACATTGCCAGCTACCTTATCTCTGCTGGGGCTGACCCCAACAAGCCCGAGCGTAATGCCTGGTTCCGCCAACCCATTCACACTGCCGTCTTTAAGAACATGTACAACATTGTAATCAAGCTTCTTGTTCACGGCGCCGATATTGAAGCCCAGGATGGCAACGGCATGACCCCGCTTTTGTACTCTGCAATTTACAACTGTGGGGAAATCACTAAACTTCTTATTTCTTATGGTGCCAATCTGAACATGGAAGATTTTGTCAAGCGTACGGCACTTCATTTTGCAGCCGAGCGCAACTTTATGGAAATTGCTGACACCTTACTTACCACCGGTATCGATATCGACCACCAAGATAAATATGGATGGTCAGCACTTTTCGGTGCAATCATGTACAATCATTTGGAAATGGTGCAACTGTTGTTGTCTCGTGGTGCAAGTGTGCAATTGAAGGACTATACTGGAGATACTGCTCTGCATTTGGCCTGTTCGCGTTTCCGCCGAGAGAAAGTGTATGTCGTGCTTTCCACCTCTGAGGATCTTTACAAACGAAAACGCCGTATCCCGACGCTCAGCTTCCAAAACCTGTGCGTCAGGTTCAGAGGCAGTAACATTAATATTGTCCGATGCCTGATTGATGCAGGGGCGTGCGTGCAAGCACATAACAACAATGGTCTGGCCCCTCTAGACTTGTGCAAAGAGCAGAACGTGATGCAGTGTCTGGTTTCTGTCGGCGCCCATCTTGACCCTGAGTGGATCGAGGCAGCAGTACAGTTCACAGATTCCGGCAATAGTGAGGAATTAATCTCCTGGTTACTTAGCCAGTTCAAACAGCAACACCAACTTCTTATGGTGTGCAAAGTGGCTATACGCAGACATCTTGCCTTTACTAAGTCAATTTCTGGTGCCATCCAAGAGTTACCACTTCCCAAGTCTCTGAAAGATTTCTTAGCCCTAGTTTACTGATATATTGAAAATATCATTTTATTGTTATGGTAAATTTAATTTTTTTTTTGTTTACAAACAAAACTAAAATACTGACTGTGCCTTTGAACAATATCTCATCCAGTGCTGGATTTACATATGGACTAGTATGGGTTGCAGCCTAGGGGCCTGAAGTCTAGAGGGCATGTGGCTGCTGTCTCTCATCTCCTTTGAATTAATCTGATACGATTTAGTGTATTTGGGCCCCAGCAGTTAGAGTGGGTCTTTTAAATTAGATGGGGAGGGCCCCAAGACTAGAGGAGCTCCCAAGTCCTCTGATAAAAGTAAAAAGATAAAGCTAGAAAAACAGAGGAGTTTTGTTCATTTTCAGATTTAATAGGGATCCTTTGAATTAATTTGGAACAATTTAGCATATTTGGGCTCCTCTAGCTGGAGTGGCTCTTTTGAATTCTTTTTATATGCATATAAGTTTTTGATGTAGTTTTTTTTTAGTTTTGAATTATTTTGTCTACTTTGCTAAATTATTAATCCAGGTGTCTCTTAAGTCCTAAATCTGGTCTTGATCTCCTTCCTTATTTTATACGCTATTACTGTGTAATTTTACTTACTTTGTTCAGTGAACTATTTGCACTAATATCTTCATCTTTCCATTGCTACAAGTTGTGACAGACATGCTTGAAAAATTCAAGAGACTCACCAGTGGAAATGTTGCGACCAAAAAAAAAAATAGAGGTGAGGATACTAGCTCAAATAATTTCTCAGGTTTCCCTTTTGAAAAACTCTATTTGCCAAGCTTGATAATATGTCGCAAAGGTATTTTAACCCATATACGAGGTTTGATCAAAAAGTATTGAAACAGTTGCTGCGGTAACGGAGCTACAGCACAAAGAGTAAAGCAGCTTGGCACAGACTGACCTTGAACTCCTGTTTTGCATACGCATTAAATTATAATGTTCTCACTCACTGTTTATAGCAGTGTCTGGAAGGAAAGTTTGTAGAGTGTGGTCATGTTAACACAGTACAGGGGTTCCATCAGTTACCATGGCTTGTGCAGCAGTTATTGGCTAAGCACAACATTCTCAGTCTTTGCGGCTTTTCCTAATTCAAAAATCAAATCCACTTGACAGGAACTAAATTTCAAGATGCAGATGAGATCCAAGAGAATGCTCACTGTCCTCAAAAAAATAAAGGAGTTCCAGGAATGCTTCCATCAATGGAAATGATGCTAGATAAAGTGTATGGCTTCAGAAGAGGACTATTGAACTATGGTGAATTGCTATCTCTTACAGTTTTCTTTTTTATAGCACCAGTATGGATACTTTTAAGATCCAACTCCGCATGTTTTGGGGGTTTTTTTTCCATATATCTAAACTGTAATTTTGGAAAGTGAAAATTTCACTGAAATATGTTGCAAAATTTCCAAGTTTTGATCAGAAATCAAGAAAATACCAGCTTTAAGTAAAATCGCTACGATATCTGGAAAAAAATGCATCAATTTAACCCACATCCTCAAGGTGTCAGTGTAAACTGCCATCTTCATTTTCCATATATATATATATATATATATATATATATACACACACACACAATCTATAAATTTAGAAAGTAAAAATATCCCTGGAATGCATTGGAAAAATTTCAGTTTCCGATCTGAAATCAAGAAAATATGAAACCTTAAGCAAAATGGTTACAGTATATATTTTTTTTAATCAATTTGCCCCAATCGAGTGGATAATGCCACTAAGATGCAAAGGGCCTCTGGAAATTAAAGAGAAAGAAAAGAATTTAGAAATAACTGGAAATCCCATCCTGAACAGGGAAAAAGAGATAAACCTCTACTCCTGTTCAAAAACAGGCCAGGAATATATATATATATATATATATTAAGGCATTAAAAACTAGAAATGTTATTAATGTCAGAAGGCCATTGATAAGGAAAATAAAGACACAGGAAAATATTCCCTTTAACAGTCCCCTCTGACGTCAGAACTGTTAACGAAATTTGGTCGACTGGGTGTGTGTTTTATTTAAACTTAACATGGCCTGCAATACAACATTTCTAGTTTTTAATGCCTTAATACGCTTTTTGTACCGTTTCTAACCTATTTATATATATATATATATATATATATATATATATATATATATAAAAAAAATAACAAAGACAAGCTTTACCGTTCATGATTTAAAAAAAAAAAAAAAAAGTCAACCAGCTGACCGGTTTTGCCCTCACTCAACAGAGTTGAAATCAAGGGAAGACTAAATAAAGCTCTGTTGAGTGAGGGCTGGTTAAATATATTTTTTTTGTCTAATCATGTATGGTAAAGCTCATCTTACCATTTTTATTTCTATAATAAAATTCTGTACCCCTCAGAAAATTATATATATATATATATATATATATATATATATATATATATATATGTATATATGTATGTATGTATGTATGTATGATGCATTCAGTAGATGAAGGGCATATTCAACATTTGATAATTTTGCAGCAATATGCACTTAAAGGTTTTGGACAGTTTTGATCGACATTTCTTTTCATGGTTAGCTGTAAGGAATTGTAAATGTTGGCCTACCTTACACTTAAGTAAAATAATAACAATAATAATATTTATTAAGAATTTATTACAGGAAAATATCAGGTTTTTCGGGAACATTGTTGACAATTATGGATTTAGTTACATAACAAATAAATAAATAAAATATAAATTCTGTTGCTATATTCGATTTGTTGTTAGGTATTTTTCATTTTCTCCTTTGTTATTGGCAGCATTTTAGAATACTTTGGCTGCAATGCTAAGTTTCCTAAGTTGAACAAACTGAAGCTATTTCGTTTACACTTTGTTACCTCTCTTTTCCATTGTTGTTTTTAGATCGCTTTCTTCCAGTCATTTTGATGGGCAATAGCAAAATTCTGAAATTTAGAATGATCTTATTCCAGTTAAAAAATAAAGCCTTTAAAAAGGAATATTTTAAATTAATATACGACCAAAAATAAACTGCTTTTGACAAAAAAAACTTAATGATTTCACTATAATTATGTAACAATAATGTTATGATATTCCACAGACAAATCTACAGTTTATGTTACCTTATCTTGTTGCATGGTCATGAACTATAAACCTAAATTGAGCTTGAAATATTGTGTAATCAGCTGTAATTTTTTTGTACAATTCTTGGAGATGATATAATGAAGAATTTACAGTGAAAAAATCAATCTTCAATTGTTTTTAATACACCCCTCCTCCACCAAATGCATCGTATATATATATATATATATATATATATATATATATATATATATATATATATATATATAAACACTAAAATGGGGATTAGAAAAAGAAGGCACTCAATATTTAATATAGTGATATTTATTTATAATATATGAATTTTTACAAAGAATTAAAACTTTGTTACTTACAAGTGGATTTTCAGTGTTTTTTCTTAGAAAAATAATTTGTTGTTTTCCTTTTTTTAAATTTTTTTTACTTTAACCAAATTCATTTAGCTTTTCAAAAAGCTTTTAACTGTTTCTATCTACACATGTTGATGCTTAGGTTTTGAAAAATGAAAATCAAGGTGCCTAACAGGCCATATATGTTGTTTATGTTAAATAGAATTTTGTAGAATCTATTTATGTAATGAATTAAGTATGCGTTTGAAATTGTTGATGAAAAATATCTCCTTATCTACCTTTGCTCAGTGCTTCTGTAGTTAGACTGGTAGAATGGGAAGACATTAAAATTTGGCAGGTTTGGTCCTCAGCATTCCTCTGTATGTTGGCTAAGGGGTATTTTTCTGGTGTGGGGATCCCTAATTTGTTGGTAATGAACTGTCATCCTTTGCCGGAGTGACTGGCTGATTTGGCCAATGTAATGCTCGTGGCAACCTTTGCATGTACTGGTATGAGAAAATACAACCAACCACTTTGTGGGGTATGCAACTGCCTATTAGAAGGCCCTGAATTTCAGTCCAAAAACAGATAAGAATTCAAAATTAAGAATGATTTCTCGTACAACTCAGAGAATTTAATATGCATAATCAAACATGATGTCTGCTTATTTTTAGCATAATCCTTTCATATTCACGAATATTTTTCTTTACATTACAATCAAATGAGGTAAGAAATGCATTGTAACTGTGAAAAATCACTTTTATTTCCCAAGTATTCTCAGAAAGAGATGGAAAGTAATCGGGAAAAAAGTGTTTTTTCACTAATTTTTCATTTCTTGCCTCATTTGATTGTAATACACAGAAAAATATTTGTGAATATGAAAGGATTATGCTAAAAAATAAGCAGACATCATGTTTGTAATTTATTTAATCAGACATGCCTAAAATATATATATATATATATATATATATATATATATATATATATATATATATATATAATCAGAAGAATCTGCAATGTTATTGGTTCTGACCCGGCATCTTGGCTTCACTTACTCCACAGCATTTTACACTTAGCTTTTTTCATGCCTTTTCCATAAATATTTTCATGGTAATTGTTCTGATGAGCTTTTCTCTTTCGTAGCTCAACTTTACGAAATTAAGTGCAATACTAGATTGGCAACAAGGTCTCATCAATCCACAGTTAAAACAGCTCGATGTAACCGTAAGTTGAACTCGCTTGTTGAACTCTCTTCTGGCTTCTTGCTTTTCAGTCAACCCTGATCTATTGTCATCTTTTGTTGTAATTCCTGTTCTTTTATTGTTCTTTTTCCTTAATATGTTTTTCCTTTCATATTCCCTGACACTCAGCAACACATTGTGTTTTAGTAACTTTATTGCCTTGCTTGGGGTGAAATGATTAAAAAAAAAAAAAAAAAAAATTGCACCTAAAATAAAAACCAACATTTGGAAGGAATAAGCAAGTCAGGATATCTCGTATATTTCTTCTTGCTACTTAAGATAATAGTTGATTAATAGTTGACATATTTTTTCATTGTTCAAAAAATCTGATGCCATATTTTAAAAGGCAAGTCTTAATTATTTGAATTATCTGT